CAAAAAAGAGAGACCATATTGATCAAGAAGTGAGATAAAAAGTTAGAGTAAAAGATTAAAATTCGACTGTCGTAAGTTGATAAAAATTAGGTAGCAACTGTTCCTTTGCCAACCGCTCTCCAATTTGAAGTGAACGCTTTGGGTCTTTTAGGCTCATTGTCACTGCAGCCTACTAAAAAAAGATTGCAATTAAAATCTTTTTACAATGAAGAATTAAACAAATAAAGAAAATTTTTTGAAGAACTTTCTGCAGAGCCAAATACCAAATGAGTAACAAGGCAGTTTCCGGTGGAGAAATGTATCGATCTGATACGTATTCCTCAACTAATCACATATCCGAGGTTTGCATGAAACGTATCGGAGTCAGCCGAGGATGGATTGCGATTGGATTTCAACTTGATCTCTTCCTTACAAATGGTGTAAACGTTTTGATTACTCAGTTTTACATAAGGTCGCTTCACAAATATGGTGTCGGATACACCCTTGGGGTATTCTATTTAAATACCACCCTGACTGTCTTCATTTAGAACAATTTATGCCTCTTGAGCACTGGAGTAGATACGAAATGGATTAAAGTCATTCTCATTAGATGACATTCAGTCTTCATTTGACATAATGGGTACAGCTGTCCTTCGAAAGTGATGAATACTATTAAACTCTCTCTTTCTTTCCCTATCTTTGAGAGCTTTTTTTTTTTTGAAAAAAATCTTTTCAATGGTTACAAAGTACATGTCTATATTTTGACCCCTTGTTTTATTTCAATGTTTGATATGATACATTAGGCTTAAACAGCATCGATCTGTGTTTTGTCAATATCACAGGCCAAAAAAAAAACCCAGTCCAACTATTTTTGCACCACTGGCCATGAAAATGTAAATTATAGGAAAGAAAGAAAAATAAGTAAATAGTTTTCTTGTAAAAGTCATTTTTAGCGGACACATGCAATTTCAAATACCTAGAAAATTTCTGTGATCTCGAACTGTTCTTGTTTGCAGTGGAAGTAATACCGTTGTTGATGCTCCCTGTGTTTTTTCCAATTCAGTTGACGTTGCTGTCATTGACGTTTTCACATCTGTTGTCATGACTTGTTGTAACGTTGCTACAAGTATTATTTTAAAAATTACATCTGTGGTACTGTTTTTCACAGCGCTCTTGTGAAAGTCTTTTTTTTCTCTTTTTTTCAGCTATGTTTAGCCGTAGGGAAGTAAACTGAAATGTGATGAGATATTAAACATATGGCTTTTTAAATAACCACTGTAACAAATATAGCTCTGTACACTTGTATATTGAATGAATATAGATACATGCAACCAAAATAAATAGATTTAAGCCGTACTTGATGACTTTGCTTGTACAACAGGTGTGTACAGTGACTGGTGTAAAATATAGAATTGTTTGGCTGAATATACATGTGCACTGTACATAGTATGTGACGATAGTGCACGGGCATGCTCATGCTTTTTATATAAAATAAAGCTCTAAATATTAAATATAGTTTAATTCATCACTTCAAGATATTAAATAATTTTACAATAAATTTAACTTGGAAATAATTCACTTGTAAATATTCTACACTTAAAGATCCGTTGAAAGAAAATTCTAATTTTAAATTTAGAAAAAAATCAAGAGAATGATTTAAATTGAAATAGCTTATCCGTGTCCCCGCTTAAGGCAAAAAAAGAGCATGCGCGTATTTAGAGGGCCGGAGGGGGGATCCACGGGGCAATGCCAAGGGGGCGGGCGGGGCCATAAGGAGTTAGATATAAAATTGCATTGCAAAATCTCGAAAGCTCCTTGATATATCGCACGGAGGTGAAATTTATACTCACAAATAGAATGTATGTATTTATGGTTTTGACCTTTTGGCCTCAAAATTAAAGGGGATCTTCCTTAAGACCATAGAAAGTTGTGATACTAAATTTCATTGCAAAACCTCAATCAAATACTTCTCAATGCTTCGCGCGGTAACGAAAGTGTAAAATAAGACAGAATTGTGATTTTTTTACCTTGGCCTTTGACCTTTTGACCTTAAAATCACTGCGAGTCTTCTTCACTCTACATGGAGTTGTTATGTAATGTTTCATTGCTAAAGCTCAAAGGATTTCGAGATTCTAGTGGAAACGAAAGTGTTACGGACAGACGAAAAGACTGACTGGCGGACGGAAAGATAGACCGAAATTAATAGCCCCACTACCAGTGAAAGCAGGGACAAAAATTAAAATGGGACAAAATGAGAAAAAGCCTTTGAACCGACAAGCAAGGGTTAAAAGAAATCGGCAAAAAAATTGAAATAGAATTAGTTCCCTGCATTTTGACAATATTGCAATTGAGAAGTTATTCAAAGTTGTATATTCAACCAAAAAATTTTTTACACTTGCGATAATGGTTTTCTTTGTTCAGGATCTCACACGGTACTGGTTTGTCATATGCATACGTTTAATTTCCAATTTTTCGTACTTATCTGTTTTTTTGCTCGTTGTTGTTAAAGGTGATCTTGATGGTATGAAAGACACTGTTCAAATTATAAAATTATACAATTTATAGAGTTTACAATTATGCATGTATTAATTATGAGATAAAAATTAAACATCAATCAGAAAAATTAAAGCTTTAATAGAAACAAACCATTTCAAAACAGTGAACATAAATTCCCTGTTTCACTCGTGTCTGACACAAAAGGGACCCCTGATTATAGTTACCGGTATGTTGTTGAACTGGTTAAAATCATCTTATATATTCAGAAATTGAAATAAAGAGTGGGGGGTCTGTGATGTTATTTTTTTTATATTACTAAAACAGTGCTAACTTTAAGCTTAAATTAGGCTAGTCTTTTTTCAAGGACTTTCATGATATATTTGATATATTTGCCAATGTTGTAACGCTAACTCCGTTACAATCTTCACATAAATGAGTTATAATGAATGACAACTTCAAAAACGTGCCATATTTTATTGAGATTCAACTTTCGGCAGCTCCCTGCTACACATTCGCGCATGCGCATTGAGACTTTCGCTTTCACTTTGGATTGTGAAAAAGAAAACACTTCGCACGCAGGATTGTGTTGAATATTTTCGCTATGGTAAGTTCCTTTTTAATTGAATTTTAGTTTTATGTCTCATGTAGGTCATAGATATAGCCTTTCTTGTTTCTTATTGAAAATAGATTCCATTTAATCCTTTCTTGCGCAAAAGATGTTAGTTTAAAGATGTGTTAGACAGTAATTTGAAGAAAAAAAAGTTTGATCTGTTGATATAGCTATCGAAACAGTGATGAATACACATCATTCATATCTGCGTTATACTATTTTACTCAGTGTATCAGGTTCAGTACAACCAGTACATTAAGCTCATTAAATTGTACTTAAAACAGTACAAAGCTTATGATCAGCTGTTTTTAACATGTATACTGTACATACAGGCTATAATTACTAAATATTGCCAGTATTCAATAATACTCTTTAAATATCCATAAAAAATAAAAAGAAACACAATGTTACTTATGCAGAAATGTTCATGTAACACATGTTACTGTAAAAGATACCCCATATAATATTATTGGTTAATTATCATTTTATGTGCAGTAAATGGTGCATCACAGAAGTCATGCTAATAAGAGCTACAGTTGTGTGCCAAAAGTGAAGATAATTTTATTTTTTCTTTATATATTTCATTGAAAACAATATTTTGTAAAATCGCTGGTATGACAACATTTCTTGCCAGATTTTATCAAAAATTTCTTGATAATCCAAGAAATTGTTGTAGTTAAAAACAACAATAGTTTTTATCTGATAAGCATTGATAATTTAAAAATATTGTAATTTAAGTGTGACATGAATTTTTAAGTCATATATTCACAATGAATTATATAGTCAACATTGATCTTGAATTTTAGAACTGATGTTGTGTGATGAACTATATTTTACTACATATTAAACATGTAATAATCTTTTGAAGAAAGATAACTACACATTTTCTGGTTTAAGTACTGAAATAAATAATTAAAATTTAAATTGGACAAAAATTGACCATTTACCTATGATTTTACAAAATGTTGTTTTCAATGAAATATACAGAGAAAAAATAAAATTATCTTCACTTTTGGCACACCACTGTATATAGTCGAGCACAAAAACTTATGCTTGATTGTGGATTAAATTCTCTAAATTCTTTTCTCAATTGTACAAAAGCTAGATTTCATTTCTGTCAACTTCTCCCATATAATGTCTGCACATATAAGCTGCAGCGTGTTGGTCTGTCATGTTTGTTGGGCAAAATACATGTAATTTAATTGTCTCTCAAAATGGTCGTGTATAGTAACATTTTGTGATGGCACTTTGAAAACATGATAAAATAAATCAATTTTTGTGCACAATAAATATAAACTTTTTTCAACTGGTAGAACTGTAGCTCTTGTTTGTAATAGTTACCCCATATAATATTTTAACCCCATGCATCTCCGTAGATGTTTTGACGATTCTTCAATCTTATGGTTGGTTGAAGTCTGTCACATGAAGGAGGTGGATTACTTATACCCCGTCAATTGTAAATCAATACACAGTCAATGTATTATGTAACAAACACAACGTGACATCATAACAGGCACAGTTTAAGGGTGATGAAGCATGTAGCAGAGAAAAACATATATAAACCACAGATAATATGTAAATGTTTCATTGGTGGGGTAAATTTGTTACATAGTTTTTGAGTGACAGGGTATGGGATGATACCTGGTTAGTAAATTTCATACCTGATGTGGCTCCGCCTCGCCAGGTATGAAATTTACTAACCTGAGGTATCATCCCGTACATTGTCACTCAAAAACTATGTAACTAATAGTACCTCCTAAGTTGTCATTTAATATGACCAGTTTCTTCAAGTATCTACACATAAACATGGGGTAAGTCACATGTACCATACTTTAGTAAAATTGATTATATCTATGTCTTTCACCTGTTGTACAAGATTTGACTTATTATACCCCTGGCTTGAAAAGTGGGAGGGTAAATAGTGTTCGTGGGGTCACTTAGCTGTAACGTCTGTCCATCCGTCCGTCTGTCTGTCTGTAACGCTTTGGGGTACCCATCTCTTATCTGCAACTCCTCTCATACCACTGAATGAAATTTGACAAGACTTTCAGAGAATCTTTATTACATATTGTGCACCTCCTATTTTACTTTATGATCTAATAGTCACATATTTTGGGTTTCCCATAGCAAAACATGGTCACTTCCATTATATTCTGAATCATCATGTTCATATGGGAGGCGGGGTATTATTTAGTGAGCTCATTGCTCACAGTACGTCTAGTTTATCAAGTTTTCTTGGTTATGAACATTGAAAAATTAAGAGTAATATTTGAATCATTAAAGAGATACCAGCAACATCAATATTTTATAGTCACAAAGGATGCTTGACACTTTGAGGGATGTGACAACCCCGCACTAATAGTCTTATTGATATGGAAGTGGTTTGTTTAAAGACACTTCAAGAATTTTTCACTCATATTGATACATCACCATTGAGCAGTCAGGGATCTTTTTTGTGCCAGCACCTACTGCGATACAGACCTTGATTAGTATATGGTTTCATCATGTCCCACAGTGGGATTTGAACCATAAATTCCTTACTCTGTTAGTCTAAAGCAGATGCTCTAAACCAATGTGCCATGCAGGCTACCTCCAGTGGAAGAATACATGGCATGGTTTGAAGGACAATATCCATCTGAAATCCCTGGCCAGTTCTTCTTTATTCTCTCATTCTGTAGTCAAGTTTATGAAGGGCACATTTGAAATGAAATATGGAGATTTTCTCTGTTATACACAACTCATGTTCAACATTAATGTAAGAAAATAGCAACATATAATTTTCAAATGTTTAGAATTACAAACTTAATTGGTATCAATAACTAAGGACTACAGTATAAACTGCATGCATTGACTTTGTTAATAACTTAATGTGTTCAAGGAAAGGGGGTTCAGAGACACACACACCCCCACACACACCAAATTTGCAGAGCTATTAAATGTATATACTAAACCAAGTAAAAGTGACCCCCTTAGACAATTAGGATCCCGCCTAGAAAACTGGGATTTATGTGAAAATGGTATGGAAAGTCATAGGTATGAAGCTTTAAAAGTCAACATTCAACAACTCCCCACCCCACCCACAAAATAGGTTTTTCACATCTGGAAAAAAGTTGTTTTTTTTTTGCTTTTGACTAGGGTGGACACTCCCTGAAAAAATTCCTGGATCCCCTCCTGTATTTAAAAAGTAATTTCTTTGTTGCAGATGTGATGCGGGCTGAGGTTTTGTTCCCTTTCCTTGTGGCAGATTGCTTCGTAATTTTTTGTTTCCCAACAGCAAAATTCCTCCAAGTTCTCCTGTGTGTCATCCAGCCATCAACGTCTAACAAGTTGTCTCCCTGTAATATATCTATCAAGCTGCAGTCAAGGTAATTGCCCTGCCAGTTGAAGACCTCCTTGTTGAGGCTTATTTTCACTGTTATCATGATAAGGTATTTTATTTTATTTTAGTATTAAATAAGAATTATAATGCTGTACTAATTAAGAGCTATATCATACTTATATTTTTGTTATGCCCTGCCATGAATATGGCCAGGCATTTAGTGTTTGTCATGTCCGTCTTCCGTCTTTCTGTCCTTCCATCACAGATTGCATTAAGCTCTGTTCAAAGCTCAGTTTCAAAGAAACTATCCAAGATATTTTCATCAAACTTCACATGCTCATAGATATTGATAAGTGCTATTCAACTGCATCACCATTTTTGACCTTGACCTTTTTTTGACCTTGACTACACTTTTCTTAATTAGATCTTAGATAAGTTTTAAAGATACCAGTCAAGATACATGTAATATTATCAAACTTCATATGCTGATACATGGTGAAGAGATCTATTCAGCTGCTTCCCATTTTTGACCTCCACCTTTCCTTTGACCTTCAGTCTTCGACAAATCCCAGGAGTCCGATGCCCGGGACCTGGTAAAATTGGAAGCGGGCATGTTGAAATTGTACACTTACAAGCCCGAAGGGCGTGTTAATTCTAGGCATAAGCCTTGGTATAATTAAATTAAATAAGACCAATAACATAAAATGTACTTTAAAGTCTGATTTTCCATCTAAGTGAAGTAAAAAAAATAATAACATTTTACCGACATCTTATTTTACCGCGATTTCCAAGGAACTCTTCTGCAAAAGAGACACAAAATGTGTACAGGTTGAAAACAAATGGCGAGACAAGAAATTGACAAAATGGATTTTCAGATTATTTCCTTGGCATGAAAAGGCAAATAAGAATAAAAAAAAGCTTGATAAAATTCTGGGCATGTAAATATTTGTTCGGGCTTGCGTAATTGGTGATCACACCTGCCCGAAGGGCATGTGCTGAAAAAAAGATTTGGCGAAGACTGACCTTGACCACACTTTTCTAAAATAAGTGTTTAGCTCAGTTTTTAAGAAACCATCCAAGATATTTTAATCAAACTTCATTTGCTGATATTGTATACTGATGAGAGATATTCAACATTTTTGAACTTGAACTTTCCTGTGACCTTTGACCTCACTTTTCCTAAATCAGTGTCAAACATAATATGCTGATACATACTGAAAGAAACCATTTACATGTATAATATTTTTTCAACTTCATAAGCTGATACATATTGATGAGAGATTGTCAACTACATCAACATTGTTTTAGTTGACCTTGGCATTTCTTTTGACCTTGACCTCACTTTAAAGAAATTAGTGTCAAACTTTATATGCTGATACATATTTAACTGCATCACTATTCAAGATATTCTGATCAAATTTCATACAACTAATACAAATTTTCATGTTGCATTACTAATACATGTATATCCTTGGCAGGGCATTCATGTCCTATGGACATATTTCTAGTTTTAATTTTTTTTTTTTAAATCGTTTATGGTACTAATAACAATATCCCTTTTTATTTAGCTCGAACAGAAACGAGATATATAAGGACTTCATAGAATTCACCAACATCGAATCATTGGAAGCATTCAAGTACAAGATGACGAAGCTTAGAAAATTGTGTTGTCTTTTACACC